AAAACGCAAACGATTTTTAAAATCATACATTTTTGGGGTACTGAAGAGAAAAAAGAGGAAGAACTATGAATGTCCTTTAGTTTTGTTTGGAGATTTTCATTAAAAACAGTAAATAAAGAATAGAAAAATTGGAAACAGCCACATTCATTTAAAGAAAATTAAAATACATTTTGGAAGTAACATTGAAAGCTACAAATGATGCAATGCAGTAGTATTCTGCAAAAAGTGTTTCTATGTAAGAAGGTCGTCATGATAACTGCTGGATGGTCAGACACAGGATACAGGTGAGGTAGCTAGATAGGTCGGAATATAAAAAAGGTGGGGGGGATGTTACCAGCAAGTAGAAGTTACTTAAGTTAAGTTGTATAGTTATTTTAAAGAGACATTTGAGTTTATATGTACTGGCTAAAACAAACATAAAGGTTGTTTACAGAAGAGATTTTAAAAATATGGAAATGATGCGGAGACAAATATTTTATTTGGAGAGAGTAAAGGTAATAAACGGAGTTCATCATCATCACCATAAATAATAATTATAATAATTGCCAACATGTACAATCTTGCGAAAAACAGAAATTATGATGACGAGTAATAATCTTGTTAATTATCAGCATTATTGAGCTAGGTTCTACTGATACAAAGAGGTCGACTAAAAATTTAAATATATTTGTTGTGACGTACTTGAGTACATAATTTGAAGATGATGGGCTGTTTTTAAATGTAAGTGAATAAAATCGAGAAAGTAAAGATTAAAGTAGGTAGCAAATCGTCGTAATTTGTAAAGGTAGACACACACACACACACACGAAGCTTTACTGCACATCTTACTAACTATTAAGAGACTCTCTCTATCTCTCTCTCTCTAGAGAGTGAAACACCTGATCGTCTCATCATCACCACTACTACTACTACTACGATTTGAATCGATGAAAGATGTTTAGAGAATGATTTTCACTTACTTAACTTAGCTAAAAAAGACATCTTTATTACCCAATTAATTCACATTTATACTGAAGCGAACATACGGACAAACTGAAGAGACAAGAAGATAGTTTTTAAAACAAGTAGTTAGTCGTACTCGTAGTATGTAGTGGTGTAAGATTAAGAAAGATGTAGGTGCTTTTTTTACACTAACACTGTTAGTGTTACTGTTTTTTTTACCGATGTTTTTAGGTTTAGGGAGGTAATTTTATTATAATGTTTCTTTGTCCATTTGTCAGTTTTTATTTACATTAAAAAAAAAGCAATCTTGAAATAAATAAGGCATTTTAAGTTTTTAAAATAAATGAAAAATTGAAAACGAATAACGCGGAATACGATACAAAATTTCGACTAAGTGACGGAGATGGGGAAACGGTAGAAAATTAGCAAATCTATTTAGCAACACTTTTTTTTAAATTAATACACGATAGCATCATAGTAATTTAAAAGAAACAACAAAATAGAATATTTAATTATTTTAAAAGGTGCGTATGAACGTTAGAAAGCGAAACACAGACATCAGACTCAGAGCAAGGACGTGTACGCATACCTGATAACAAAGCTGATGCTACCGGGTTCCCCTGCCTCAAGAACCTGTACCAAAGTGTCGCAGTCTTTGAAAATATCACTAAGTCGTCTGTCAGTGAACAAGTCTGCCATTTGGCAGGACAATAAAGCCGGGGAGGCAAGGTCTTCAACGACCTCCCCCCTGACACACTGATCAGACGATTCCTGATCATCAAACATACGACTGACTTCAAGTTCCATAATAATAATAATAGTAGCAGAATAAATTTGACATCGCATTTCAGCAGAACAGCACCAGCTGAGGATCTCATTGGTCTGTTTACCATAATGTGATTCCAGGCGCTACAAGTTCAAAACACACCTTTTTTCGGTGTGCTTCGAAACAAACAAACATGGAAGCAACAACCGAGATTATTAAAAATAAAAAATAAAAACAATTTTTTTTTTCTTTTTTTAACTATTTTTTGAATGATTTCTTTTGGAAGACATCATCGTCACCATGCATTATTGTAGTAGTTGTACCCAATGTTTTAGTTAGTTAGCTAATCACTATCTGACTTAAAAAAAAAAAAAAAAAAAAAAAAAAAAGACCATAAGTTTTGCTTTTGGGAATCAAGACGGATTTTTTTTTTTTAATCGACAAAAAACTTGAGTATTTTTTAAAAAATGAAAAAGAAAAGAAAAAGCTTTGAACATGCAACGATTGGGGAACAGTTTTAACGAGTTCGAGGAATTCATTATTAAACTTTTTAATTCAGGAATTCAAAGTTGACTAAAAAAAATAATACAAAATTACGTGCCTTTGTAGAGAGAAAGTAGTTAATTTAAAAAAAAAAAAAAAAAAAAAAAAAAAGGTTATGTTTGCTGCAACGTGAGAAATTTTATGAATTTTTAAATTCTAGTTAAACTTCTTAAAAATTTTATTCTTTCAAAAAAAAAAAAAAAAAAAAAAACAGAAAAAGTAGCATATTTCCCGATTATAAATTGACTACAAAAATTCTTTCATTCATTAACAGCAATGATCGAAAAATGCTGCATAATTTATAGTAAAAATTAGCGACATCGATTAGTCGACCGGTGCCAATACAAAAGGCGAATTTCTCTAATGCTGCTTCTTATCAAACATGACTATAATTGATACAAATGGATAACTAAAAGCGTTATTATCTTTAATTTCATAATTTGTACATCTTGTATATATTTTTTAATCAACTGAACTCAAAAACGACCTTTACAAATGTATTTTTAATTTATAAATGTTATATACATTGAAAACTTGTCTGGCTTATCTGTTCCGAACATGAAGAAGAGAGTGTGACAAGGTGGAGATAAGGCAAAAAAAAAAAAAAAATAGAAACATTTTGCAACTAACGATAAACAACAGTGTATTACTGTTGAAAATATTTCTGGTATGAAAACGGATGCCAAAGAGAGGAAAAATTAAATAACCCTCTTTTTAGTTTTATAAAAAAAAGAGTTTGTACTTAAAACTAAAAAAAAAAATGGTTTTGTTGAGTATTATTGCCATAAAAAATTTAAAATGATTAAGGAAGGAAAAATAGTAAATAAAAAAATAAAAAATCAATGATTATCCTCACCAAAAAATTATTTATTACAAAATTAGCAAGCCGCAAGCGTATTCATTTTTTGTGTATTTTTTTCTTTGAATAGGTGATTATTTATTGTTTAGCAAGAAGAGGAAATGATAAAAATACCTATTGATGATCGATCTACACAACGATCGAAACACAAAGTTATATTTTTATTTATTTATTTCTCTCTCCCATCAATGGATGATGAGACTGGAACACTGAACAATTACAAATAGAGAGAAATTGTTTTTCGGACAAGATCTATGTGAAGATGTGTTCAGAACACTTTTTGAAGCTAAAAAAATACATCTAAGTACTAGTAAAGTTGGACTCTTCAAATGATTAATAAAAAATATTCATGTTAAAAAAAAATTTTATTTTTATTTTAGAAAATTAAGTGTAATGTTTTTTTGTTTTTTTTTTTGTTTTTTTACAAAAAGGGAAATAGTTATCTCTTTTTAAATTATTAATCCATCAGTAAACCAAGTAGAGCCCCCAAAAACCATTGAAACCAGAATATTAGAAAAGAAGAAAAAAAAAAAAAAAAAAAAAGGAAACAGTTCTGGATTGCATTGGGGTCTAAAAATAAATGAATAAGAATTACAGAATTAGTTTGGGATAAAAAAAAAAAAAAAAAAATGAAATTTAAAACTAGACAAGTGTTCTTGTTGAAAAAAAAATATATCGCACTTCTTTATGCAACAACATCACTAGTCAAGCAACTCGTAAGAATCTGAATTTAGAGATTTTAGTTTTTCAATTGTTAAACCGTTCGGTTCGTTAAGTTAACGTATTAAAATACTTTTTTTTATTTTATCAATTTTTAAACAAAGTGGAATCAGAAGAAAGTGATGAATGAATAAAAGTTGAAATTAATCTCTTCTTCAAAATTCCTAAAAACTAAAGAGGAAAAAAGGCGAAGAGAAAGTAAGTGATCTTAAAACAACTACTCCACCCTAAAATGTCTCAAAAAGAAAAAGTTTGATCCTTAACAATTTTGTGTGGAGTAATTTTAAAAAAAAAAAATAAAAAATTTTAAAATGTTAATTACTAAAGTAAACTAAAATAATTACTTTCATTTTTATATTGCGAAGATAATGCCTCCCTTTTCTTTTTATTAAATTTAAATAACATTTAAAAACATTCAAAAATAGTTTTACTTTTGCCAAAATAAATTTGATCAAATAAATGACAGTTAAAAAAATTTTAAATGTAAAAAATAAGCAAACCAAACAAAATTCCTTCTAAATCCCATGTCAACAATTTATTTGATTAAGTAACATTTTTTTTAAAGTTAAAGTTCAATGAAAAAAAAGGAAATTAAATCATTAATTTAAAAATAAAAAGATCTAGAATTTTGATACGTGCGTTCAACTGTAAAAAAAAAAAAAAAAACATTGAACATTGAAGAATGAAATGCTAAAAACAGTCACACCTACTTTTTAGAGGTGTGATTCATTTTTGATAATTTGACAGTATCAAATAAAAAGTCTAAAAAAAAAATAAAGTTAAAAAATTTAGCTCATGATCCTTGGAATCCAATTGTAATTTTTTCTATTTTCTTGGTATGAGCACAAAAAAAAAGCATTAAAAAAATTAATTTAAAGATTCCAGTTTTTTTTTTCAATGACTAACAAAACATTTTAAAAAAATGTTGATAGGTAGTCTGGTATGTTTCAAGATCAAAAGATAAAATAAGTTTTAAGAATTTCCAAAAGTAAAATATTTCTGCAATTTAATTAATTATATTATTAGTAGTCTCAAGCTGGTTGCTAACAGAAACTAATGTTTTGTTGATGGAAAAAAGAATAAAGTTTTGTCAAAGGATAGAGAAGGCGTGCGCCACAACAGGAGGGGAGTTGTTGTAAACACATTTTTCCCCTTTATTTTTTATTTTACCTGAGTGTCGTTGCCAAAGGACCGTCTGCAGATTCTATTTCGGTAATGAGATGATCGTGATGAGCATTAATGGCCTCTTCTCGGACCAGCTCAGCATCCTTGACCAGAGCTTGGTCATCCATCTTTTTCCAACGGCCATAGCCAGGCGGTTTAGTGGGAGGTACTATTCCATGCTCAGCAGTCGTCGCCATTACTGGCTGGCTCTGTCAGTCTGGTTGAAAACACGCGACTGCGCACTATCCACATCCGTTTACCCTTTAACTTTTTTTTTTTTTACTGTTGCACATTATCACTTTTTTCTTTTCTCTTCTTCATTTGTTCTTTCACCGCATTTGTCTTCTCATTACTCCTCTTTCTTTTACATTTTCTTTCTTTTTCCTTTTCGTCCACTTTTATCAATTTTCTTTTCTTTTTCTCTTGTTATTGCTTTTCCTTTTTTTCCACTTTACCCGCCTTCTATTATCTCTCATATTTTTCCTTTTTCTCTCCTGACTCAAGCATTTTGCTAACTTTAACTTATGTTTCTTAGTCTTCCTTCAATGACCTTTCAACTAAAATTCGTCCATTCACAGGTCAAATTGTGTACACTCAATTAGTTTGGTTTCATAGCATTTAAAAAGGCAGACAACAGTGTGTAAGTGAAAAATTTCCTTAACTTTAGTAGTTTTTAGTGCTATGCAGTATTCTATGGCAAAATTAAGTTATCAAAAAATAAATATGGAATTTGCTTACAAATAAAATTTCATATAGTGTAAAAATTTCTATAATAAAAAAAATGTAAAATTATATAAAAAATAAAAAAAAATAGACTAGGTTTGTTTATTACACTTTCTTTTGGGGAAGTATTTAAAAAACATTTATTGAAAGAAAAAAGTTACTAACACATTCTTTAAATAAAATAACTTTTATAAATAAGCCAGATGGTTAGTAAAAAATGGCCTGAATAAAATTTGATGCATAAAACTTCGTATATGTAGGGCTTAAGTCTGATGGTCCCAAAACCTACCAAAATAAAGTTTGCTGACAAACATGGTTTAAAGAGGTAAATTTTATGATATTTTAATCAATAGGAAAACTAAGTCACAATCATAGAGTATTATATTTCTGATTCAATTCGGAGCCAGTTTGAGGCTATTTAAGAAGTCTGGCTTGTCAAACAATTAAAAGGGTTTTGACTTTCACAGGTGAATGACCATGGGCTGTTTTTAGGGACTGAGCTAAGAAAAACCATGTCGACAACAACGAAAAGGAAAAAACAAAACACAGAAGTGAAAGAAAGAAGCAGAAAGAAGATTCTTCAAATTTAGAGAGATATATGATCTTTCTGTATATATGATCTTTCTATAGTTATTTGTGATACTTTGTCACAAATATTTGAGGTATTCACTCTGATTTCAAACTTAATATGAAAATTTGAGCAGCCAGTCTATGAAAAGGACAATTCTGAATTCAAAACTGAAGATAGTGGAGTAGTTTCCTGTCATCCTTTCCTTCTTTAAAAAAGCCTGATTATTCACAGATAATAATGGCTGGCTACTCATTTGCAGGCACACCAGTCTACTAGGGCAGTTAGCCAATCTTTCCTTCCTGACAAACTGACCATGTTTAGATTGAAAGTTTAGTTTCATGGTCAGAAAGCAAACATTTCGACCACTCAGCCACATACCCATATTCACAGATAAAAAAGAAATCTGTGAAGAGACATGGTTGTCTACATCCTGGAGGGACATGGCATTATAGATTACTATAAGTCATGTTAACTTACTTCAAGAGGATATATCTTAAAACCATATAATCCTGAACCATATTAAAAAAAAAAAATGTCTCGTTAATATCCCATATCTATTTTACTGTTAACAAAGATGATGTCACTAAATTTTTCATCTTAGTCAATTCTGATTATTTACATTTTAGATGATAGTATACTAAAATTTAGGAATTCAGTACATAATAAAATACATTTCTATAAAATAATTTGATTAGTTTGCATTAGTTACACTAGGGCTATTGTCCATATCTTTGTTATTACTATTACAATGTTTCAATCATTATGCTCTATAGCCATCATCAGGTGCTTATTGATCCAAATAACCTTCAAGGAATTTCAAACTGAACCCTTTATTTAATCTACAGGGGGTAGATTGTTCTCATTCTGCTGTCCATGTTCAGAGATATCTCGTCTTGTTCTTATTTAGTACTGTTCAGTTATCACCTGCCCTGTTTCCACTGTCCAAATCAGGGATTGAACTCACAATTACTATGTCACCAAATTCACAAACCAATCTACTAGGCGATTATCCTGTGGGACAGTTCTGAATCTAGAACTTGAAGCCCTGAATCTAATCTGCCTACTGCTGACACTGCTGTACAGAAAAGCACCTAATGAAGGTTGGAAAGCTCAATGGCCAGCAGCCAGTTTTACTTTTCTCAACATTTTTAGAGAATCCAGGATTATGTATATTAGCCAATACCAGAGCTCACTTTAATATAACAAATAATACAAGTTAAATTATTCAAACATCATTATCCGACCAAGTATTTATCTAATTGTAAACTCTTTTTCCCTGTTATAGAAGGATAGACTGGGTTTTCTAGATTTGATAGAAAACCAGTCTTGAAGGACAACCCTGAATTCAAAACCATGGAGAAAACAATGGGAAACCATTCCACTAGCTTTCTGAAGAGCAATATACAATATACAGATATTAAAAGGAAACTGCATGTAATTATCACTATACCCTAAAGGGACATAACTCTTAAAGTGAGGGAAATTGTTCTGTATTGTCCTTTGTTATTACCAATAATCTATATTCAAAAGTTCACCTTTATATTTACTCTACATTTTTACTTGGGTATTTTATTTGCAATGCTATATCCCTTCAGGTCATAAATAATCACAGCTCTCCAGAGCTTCCTTTGCTTTATTATCTGAGAATTATCATGACAACTTGAGAAAAATAGTGAAATGATTTACCATTGCCTTCTACAGTTTTAAATTTAGAATTGTACTTCTCCTAGACTGGCTGGCATCCAAGGCCAGAGAATCCTGCTATTTAATCCATAGCTGTGAGGGAAGAAATAAATGGATTCATTCCTTTTCCAAGAACATAACCACAAAGTGAAGACTAGGCTAGAATGTGGACTCTACTTGATTTCTCTTTCAATTACACACATGAAACCTCTACATTCTATGTCTACTATTTTTAAAAATAGTTGTTCAACACATTGACTGCCAGAGGTTATTTATGAAATCTAACTGCAAACTCCAACTTTATGATAGCCAGCTTAAACAATATAAAATTTTTATGATTTGGTTTATAACTTCACTTTTCAAATGCTTCATTCATATGTTATATTTTCAATAAATTTTTCCCATAAAAAAAGTTTGTTTTCAGCTGCTAGTTCAATTTTTTCATCCTGCAATAGATGTCAGATACCAGCTATTTGCATGAAAAACAATGAAAACACTCATGATTGTAGCCTTGATGTCCAGACCACAAAAACGACGTAACTCATGGTCAGTGTCATAATAAAAGCTGTCAACCACAAGTTATTTTGTGGTTGACAGTCAATGCATTAATATTTAAACAATTTCTTCCTGCACAGCTAACAAAACACTCTCAGACATTTAGATTGATTAACAAGATTTAAAATAAGTTAAAATGCATCAATAAAAATGGTTTTGTGAGATGAGTAATTGTCAATATTCTTGTATTATTTCAAACTATTGTTCTCATTTTGGTCGATATAAATATTATATACACAATGTTTCACCCAAGTAGCCTCTGGTCATCATCAGATGTCTACTGATTGGCTGATATGTGGTATCTGTTGATTATTGTGATATTTTGTCCCCGTAATATCAGTTATTGTTTGTTCCTGTGGGTACATCATTACCAGATCCAAACATGACATTAGTTACTGTCATCTTGAACAAGTGTTACTGTCATCTAGTGGTCATGGGTTTAATCCTTGGATCTAGTAGTGATGCACCAATTCAGCATGAATGAACAATGACTGATATCACAGGGATAAAATATCACAATAATCAGCAGATATCCCATATCAACCAATCAATGGTGTTATAATGAGCATTTAGTTGCAAGAGGGAGGGAATAACAAGGATTAGGTTTTTAAACAATGTGTATTCATTTAATATACAAGATTTATTACAATTGTTGGAAAATTGGAGAAAATGTCAATTTCAGTTGCTGATCATCAGGAAGGTGATTAGGTGTAAGGGTAGTGGCAGGAGTTGACTAATTTCTTGGGTTGGTTTGACCAAGGTGACGGGATATGTCCATGTTTCACTATGAGGTTATGCCTGTTAATCGATGGAGGTCACAGTGGTAGGTTGATTTGTGATAGTGTGCATTGGTTGCTGAGGTGACGGCAGTGGCAACAAGGGATTGGTGTAGCTAGTAGGCCATTGGAATGTTCATTTTGATTTGAGTCAGGTGTTGTATCAACAAAATGGGTTGTGGTGGTGACTGCAAGGGTATGCTAGTATTGAGTCAGGTTGCTGAGGAGACTGTGGTGGCGGAAAGGGATTAGGTGTAACTAATGTTTCATGAGTTGAATGTCAATGAAATGGGTCGTGGTGGTGACTGTAAGGGTATTCCTGTAGCGAGTTGAATTGCCAAGGTGGCACATGTTGGTGATGAGGGATTAGGTGTAGTTAGTAGGCCTGTGGTAGAATATTTCATGTGTTGAGCATCAACAAAATGGGGTCATAGTGGTGACTGCAAGAGCATGCCTAGCGAGTTGGGTTGCTGAGGTGACACTGGTGGCAACAAGGAACTCTTGTAGCTGGGTTGATGTTGAGATGCTATAAATCACTGGCTGGTGTCAGGAGCCTGATGGTGTCGAAGCTGGATTATCAGCCACATTCTACATGTGAAGAGTTAGGTGAGGTTAGTTGAGTGTGTGAGTGGTATAGTGACATGGGGGTATGACGGGGTGGTGGCCCCAGGTGGCACATCCGATGGAGTATATTATTTTTGTTGCAACAAAGGCAGCGATAAGGAAGAAGAAGAATTTTTGTTTTTATTTAACAAATACACCTAAAATTAGATATTAAAAATAGTTTTTAATTTTGATTTTGAAATGTCTGTTTGGCTGC